GATTATTGAACATACAACCCCTATAGAGGTTGTAAGTTTGTATGAAAATCTGTTATTTTTAAAATTACGTTGACTAAAATTGGAAATAATCTTTTTAATTAAAACTGGTCACTATTCTAATTCAAAGTTTTGGCAGTACTTACATTCTCTAGAGATGAAAAATAGGGCATGGTGTGAAATTAGAGATTTTGTCATTTTAAAAGTAGTGATATTGAGACTCTTTATAGGAGCATCTTTGTAGGAAATCGGCTAAGAAAGTAAAAATAATACACACGTGGGCAGAAAACAAACGCTAGTATTAAAAAAAACGTGTGTGTGTACTTATGTACGCACGTAACAGCTAAAGATTTCATCCCGTAAGTCACAACTCTCTGTTTGTAAAAGGAATGCAGCTAACTTCATCATGTCGCTTTTTGGCTGTCGGTGTGCGCGCGCATCGTAAAAATTTTACTCTCATATTTGTTTCCAAACGTGCCAAAAGAAGTATAACTACAAAAATCGTCACTGAGTTTGTTTATTCAAACGGACTATCATTAACAGTTTGGAAAGCTATCTTACCTACCTGTAAAATCGAAATTTTATACTATTTGATATCAAATGAATCAGATGTTGTCATTTGCACATTATCAATAGTCATATGAATGGACAGCGGATACGTGGATCACGAGGATGAGCCTTGAATTACTTGAATCGAATTCACAACAGAGCTCGCGCAATCTGTTCAACTTGACACACTAACTGTGTGTACTTACTACTTAATCAATAGTTTGTGAAATAAAAATAATGCCCGAAGGAGTGTTCCCTCTTAAAAAAAGGAGCTTTCATGGAATTACATTGGTGTAAGTTTGAAAGAGCTTAAGTATTGCGATAACTATCTTTATCATGTTAAATATTACCTAACAGTGATACAAATATAATTAATACACAGTTTTACATTTTATTTTAAAATGTTACTAACTTACATTCACTATAGTCGTAGTGCATATTCAACTCGCAATCGAGTATTTATTATTCATACGTAGTTAGATAAAATATTTTTTATATTGAGCAAATATAGAGCTTTGACATTTGTAAAAAATTTAATTCTATGAAAGAATCGAACAATCGTTACTTTATTTCTAATAGTAGTACATACACAACATATAGAACCTGTAGATCCATTTCTATAGGTTCTATACGTCCCTTAAGTTAATTTCTAAGAATATAAGGAATAAAAAAATAACATGTTTCAAGAGATACCTTTGCCTGTTTAAAACTATGGACACTAAATATTAATAACGCTAATAAAATAATTTTCAATATTAATATATATAAACTTGGACAAATTCTTGAATCGCATACCTAAAACCAATTACTTGCGTTCACACAGTTGCAAATTCCTCTTAAGTAATTATCATCGTTTCAGTGACAGTGACGAAGACACGCTTTTTCCGACATGATACGTAATTCGTATCGCAATAGAAATGCTACCGAAATTATCTCATTTATATTTTTTCCAAAAGTTCCATAAAAATGTTACAGTGTAAATTGTGAATAAAAAGGCTGTCGAAGCCTCAAACTGTTTAGTCTGTGATTGCGTCCTCAGTGAACCGGTCGCGGACTGACCTCACACGGTAAACCAATTATTGCACGTAAGTTTTATTTTGTACTATCGACTTATCCTTGATTCGCTCAGGTGCGTTCCTTGTTGCGTTTTAAATAGATAAAATAGTTATCGTGAATATGCTTTTAGTTGGTTCCCCATACAAACTTTCAACCCATATTTCACCCTCTTCAAAATTTATTTTCGCGACAAAAAGTAGCCTATGTCCTTTTCTAAGGTTCCATCAATCTCTATACAAAAATTTATTACAATTGGTACAGCGGTTTAGGTGTGAAAACGTAACAGAGAGACAGACAGACTAATCACACAGTTTCTTCAAAAACCTCAGCTTAATATAAATAATGGCAATGCGGTACAAAAACTCTACATAGAGTTTTATTTTATGCATATCGTACGTGAATATTAAAGTATTAACTAAATATATTTTAATTAACACTCTTTTATTTTTATATATTGTTATAATCAAAACATATTTTATGTATATAACCGACCAATGGTGTACTATGTAATAGTGTAAAAACCCATCAAATGTTTTTCTAGGAAAAGTAGAGTAAGAATTATTTTAAGAGTAGATAGGTACATATAGATGCAAGCTAAAAATAATTAATAGGTACCTATCTGTTCAGAGTACGACAATTTTCACTTTATCTATTGAGACTAAATGAAAAATATATTAATATGAAATATTATTTACTAAGTACACAAAAAACCGAAAAAAAAGTTTTATTTGAAAGTAGCGATTCACCCTCGCTCCGCTTGGGTTCGCCCCTAGTTACGTTTTATATAGATTTCTTAGAGATGAGATATTTCCCCACAGTAAGAAGTATCCTATATGTTGACCCGCTGATGCGGTCAGACAGACAAAAAAATTAAAAACTATAGATTCAGCCTCTGTATCGATATGTACAGATTCGACTCAGTTCGAATTTTAAATATGTATATAAATGTCAAATATTCGCGTAAATCTAAGAAAATATTACACAAAGTAAAATAATGTGATTGATTTTTTTTGCTTTTAAATACAAATCTGTTGTTACATTTAGTTTTAATAAGTACTAGCGACTTACCCTCGCTTCGCTCGGGTTCGTTCCTTTAGTGACAATGCCGAATCATAACGGTACGTTTTAATTTTTTTATCCGGAACAATATTTCTTTTTCTAAAATAAAAGTAGCCTATGTTACTCCCTATAACATCAGCTATCTTCCAGTGAAGATCCCGTCAAAATCAGTCCAGCCGTTTCAGAGATTATCCGGAACAAACAGACAGACAGACAAAAATTTTAAAAATTGAGTTTTTCTCATAAGTCCCCATATAATTTCATATGCATTTAGTAAAACAATGTTATTTTGACATTACAAACAGACACTTCAATTTTATTTGTCTGTATAGATTATACCTAAAGCAAACCAACCGCAAACACGGATGTTAGCATAAAAGTTAGGTAGGTACTCGTATATTGGAAAGAATATGTGTATTGTATATTATTAACGCCTTAAAAAAAAAGAAAACTATAGTTGTTATTAATCTTTAATATAAATAAACTAGCAGAACCCGCGGCTTCGCTCGCGCTAAAACTACAAATAAAATCTAAAAAGGTAGTTTCATACAAATGTTCATCCTCTATTTTACCCCCTTATAGGATGAATTTCGAAAAATGCTAAAACACGTATTTATTTAGTTTTATTGAAGAGCATTAATACCAAGTTTCAAGTCATTCTGATCAATTTGGTAAAAAGTAGCCTATGTCACATTCCAGGCCTCCAACTATTTCCACACAAAAGCTCACGCCAATTCGTCACTCCGTTTCGACGTGAAAGAAGGACAAACAAACAAACAAACACACTTTCACATTTATAATATTAGTATGGATGTAATTCTGATGAATTTAGTTATTAGCATCGTATTAATTATTAGCATAATATTTGAGGATTAAATCTTCCTATAAGTAATTACGAATACATACATATATCCACGTTCATTTCAACAAGGCAACTCTCGTTGCCGTTACTTGGCACGTTAAAAACGATCATCAGGAACTAGGTGAAGAGTTGCAATTCTAAGAACATATACTTACTAGTTACTCGTAATTAAATTACATATTTACCTAACCTAACAGTCCGGAACAGGAAAATAAATGTAGATTAAATAATATTGTTGTCAATATTAGTGACTAGCATTGCCCGCGGCTCCGCCCGCGTTCAGATGAACAAAAACCAAATTCTTAGGTTTTACATATCAGTATACTCTTACATTGCAGTTTTTGTATTTTTTCTCAGAAATGAGATATTTTCCCAGGGTAAAAAGTATCCTATAGGATAGCCAGCTATCATCATACCACTTTTGATCAAAATCTGTCCAGTGGTTTTCTCATGATGCGGTAACAGACAGACAGACAGAGAGACAAAAATTCTAAAAACTATTGAATGTACAGATTCGACTCAGTTAGAATTTTATTATATGTATAGATTACATTACACCTTGGGGCTATAATTAGCTACCTGCCTATAAATGAATTTCCATGGCACGTACTTAGATATGACTTGCTCTCCATAAAATTTATTAGACTAGATACAAAAGAACTGGGAACCTTGAACGAACGAGGCAAAAAGTCATGACTTAACGACATTCTCTTGATCTCTTCCCTTTTAATTTGTTACCTGAATAAAACATGTAAATTGCATTCAAGTAAAATTACCTACGGTTAATATTTAGTAATTTATTCATAAAAATAAATTTAAATATAAATATTTACTAAATAAATGTTTGCAACGAAAATATAATACAATCAAAACTAAGACTGGGTTTTTCAAATTAGAGAATCCAAATAAGTCACAGCTTATCGTTTAGTTTATTTTTGTATTTAATCAAATATTTCTTCAATAATACACCTTTTCAAGATCTTTTTTACAGCTCTAACATGTTTATATACCTATAAATTGTGACAATGCAAACGAGTAATATTAATTTATTCAATGTATCGTTTACTATATAACCTTTGTTACGTCTCATTCAATACTTCGTTGTGCAACTGTCTCAGTTCTCATGCTATCTAAGCGCTAACAAGGTAGATTTGTAGAGATAACGAAGGCTTCTCGATGCTCTAAGAATTTCCCAATAATAAAGTAAACAAAAACGTGAGTAGTTATTACAGAGTAAGAGAATGTTTCTCTTGTACATTCTGTCATTAACAAGTTATAACACAATAACGTGAACTGTGCTCAACGCTCAGTATAAATTACATTAAAAGTTGCAACAATCAAGTCGATAATTTACATGTATAAGTATTAAGTACGCGCAGTTAAAGAAGTTAGGTTTAATAGTAATCTAAAAATTATATTCGATAAAAAAACTTACGTAAATATTATTATTTTCTCATCTCATTGTTACAGACCAAAAATGAGGGCAATTAGTTTTATTATTGCACTTACGGCGGTAATAAGCTGTAAGGCAGCAACACCACAGCTGCGATTTGCATGGAAACAAGTAGACTACGTCTGGGATTCAACAGAGCAACGCGAAACGGCAATCAAAGATGGAGTTTTTGTAAAAGAAAACAATCTTCCATTAGGTTTAGTGAGATGGAAGAACAAAATTTTCGTAACTGTACCGAGGTGGAAGAACGGTGTGGCATCTTCATTAAACTATGTAGACTTAGATGGTGCTCAAGATCAACCGTTAAAGCCTTATCCGTCCTTAATAGACAATCTTGTACCTGACACTGCTACAGAACTTCCATCGAACAGCTCTATTATTTCCGTGTTTAGATTATTCGTAGATCCTTGTGACAGACTGTGGGTTATGGACTCAGGATTGGCAGATATCTTGGGTAAGTTTACAATTTACTTAACTTACCTTTGTAGTTACATACTTTATCGCTTCCAGGCACGTACTTATCGTTTTTGCATAAGTAAAACAATTTATGAAAATTTCTTGCACAAACGTAGGGAGAGTTGTTTACATCGTCTAGAGAAAGTCAGCTGATACAAATCTTTCGTTGAGTCACATTTTTGATCAATTATGATAAAATTTTTGAATCTTGTTAATATTTTGAATATTTTTTTAGAAAATAATTATCTCTATGTTTAAAAATAATAACTTATTATGTCATGTAATATTAAAATAGACTAAAATATTTCTTAAATAACTTCGTCCAATTTGTGTAATTTTATATAATTTAATTTATGAAGTTTGTCCGACACTTAGTTAAGTACGTTTGCAATTGTAATTTTTCATGTGCTCTTGTTATTACCTAAGTGTTCATTTTTTAAATTTTATTTATTTTAACGGTTTACACCCTAACTTTTAAGCTAACAAGTGTTATTATTTATTTTATTTTCGTTTATCTGCAACTAACTCTATTTTTCAGGGTCTCCAAACCAAATTGCAGGTCCATCTATTGTTATATTTGATCTTAACACCAATCAGTTGCTACACCGTTACTTTTTCAAAGTGGCTGATATGAAAGAAGACTCGTTCTTCGCTAACATTGTGAGTATTACTAACTCATGAATGTATGAGCTCAAATGTTCATGTTTAATAAAATCATAATAATACTATATTAAATATGAAAATTTGAGATCTCTTTTCTTCTAGTATCAATCAAACTGATTTTAGGAAATACCGGAAACGAGATAGGTTATATCTGACATTAACACATACGCTTTTTTTACCAACGATCGACCATGTGGGCGGAGTTGAGGGTAAAAACTAGTCTCTATAAAAGCTAATACTTATATGGATATAAATAAATTAGTATCATTATAAAATTATTGTCCAATTTACTTGTCTATTGAAAATATCTTTATAATATGTATATGCAACTAAATATGAAGCAACCCATAAATCAGCTATCTGATGACTATTCATTACCATAAATCGAAATAATAGTAATTTAACTTTTTGCTTGAAATGCTTGTGTTTATGATTTATTGAACATACAACTTATAATTTAACTTCAAAGATATAAAATTATCTACGTTTTCACTGTGTCAAAGAAAAAAATACTTTCATATGTCACTACCGCGTTCACTAATTTATAGTGATTGCTTTCGCTCACGATTTTACACATAATTAATTAGTAAAATTGTAGCGCACAACTTGTACCTAATTATATGACTATTTTATTATTCCGATTATGGAAATAAAGCCGATGTAACTTTTTATTATTCTAATATTACAAGTTAATTATTTTATACATTTATTGCCAGCGAACCGCGCCCGCGTTCAGATGACCATAAACCAAATTCTTAGGTTTTACGTAATATTATACTCTTACATTGCGGTTTTTGTATTTTTTCTCAGAAATGAGATATTTTCCCGTGGTAAAAAGTATCCTATATGTTGACCCGGATAACCAGTTATGATCATACAAAATTTCATCAAAATCCCTCCAGTGGTTTTTCTGTGATGCGGTAACAGACAGTCAGACAGACAGACAAAAATTCTAAACACTATAGATTCGGCCTCTGTATCGATATTAATGTGTATTTCAATAAGATCTTCCAAAAAATGTTTAGTGTACAGATTCAGCTTCGTTACAATTTTAATATATGTATAGATAAGTATAATAATATTACCCTACTAATATAGAGTTCACGATTACTAAAACCCTTTTTTAATATCAATTTCCTAAAACAACTTATATGGAAGCAATGAACAACTAACACTAACTTATTAAAAAAGAATAATAATTAATATTGAAGATAAGAAAGGTATACTGACTTTAAATCATTTTAAATGTAATTTATCTTTTATAGGCTTAAGAAAAAAAAAACATTAAAATTGGTGGTATTTAAACATACAAAAAAATATAACCCTAAATTGAGTAAATCTTTCTCTTTTGAGGTCGGTCCAAAAGTTCAACAGTTATATTGGTGATTGTTGTAAGTTTATTCATTGAAAATATCTTTTCCAGGCTGTGGACGTGGATAAAGACACATGTGGCGATGCTTTTGCGTATGTACCAGATTTGGGCGCATACGGTGTTGTGGTTTACAGTCTTAAACAGAACGACTCATGGCGTGTGAGCCACCATTACTTCCACTTTGAACCGTTGGCTGGCTCTTATAGGGTTGGTGGGGTCGAGTTTCATTGGACTGATGGGGTCTTCGCGTTAGCACTCTCCGAACCAAGAGAGAATGGGTGAGTGGTTACTGTTTAGACCTTGTGTTCATAAATATCGAACTGGCCGTGTATGTATTTTTATCGTCACGCTCTACATAATTTAGACAAAGTGCTATATAAAGCTCAATGCTTTCTGTGCGATATTATTGAATGGTATATGTGCTTGTAATATTTCTTTTGTTATATAATTTGCCCTTTCCATTTGTAGGGCGCTGAAGAATCGATTGAATAATTTATTTTGTTTGTAAATGTCAACAAAAATGTATTTACTTTAATCCTGAGAAGGTCAAATACAATATAGTATTTTAAATAAAACTATCTTTTCGGATTACTTCGCGGATTTATTTTGATTTTTGGTTCCTGACGTTTCGAATGTTTTACAACAATGGTCATGGGAGAGACCCGTCTCTCGTCGCAAAGAGAGGGAAAGCAAAGATCAAAACAACTATACTTTACTCAGTTGTGATGAAAGTCGAGAATTTATTGACATCTTATTTTTCAATTAAACCACGTAGATAAGATTTTCTATTTTTTGGTTTCAAAAAAAATGTTTGTTATGTTTAAAGTTGTTTTAGTTCGTTTTCATTTTTTTCTATTTTAATTATATATATTTATAAATACATGTGATAAATTAAATTTTAATATTACGGCAAATTAATCTTCATTCGATTGGATGACTGTTAATAAATAAATGAATAAATAAAGTAAGGGTCAGCTAGTTTTCTTATAAGCAAAATCTATTTCAGATATCGCACGATGTTTTTCCATGCGTTCTCTAGCACCAAGGAGTTCTGCGTGTCCACAGAGCTGCTTCGCAACTACACACACATTGACAAGCAACAGGCATTCCACGACTTCAAGGTTTGAATATTAAGATACGACTGCACATTCTACCAACAGTTTTTGTTATAACGGAATATTTATTTATTTTATAACAAAAATATCTCATCTTTGTTTAGCAATAAATAAATGCAGATTTAATCATTTTGATATAAATTTATTTTAACCGACATCAAAAAAAAAAATGTATATATTTGCCGGTATTTTTTGTTATCTATTTTATTACTCTGAGATATCCGAGACGAATTGCCGTAGGTACTTTTTAAGTTTGAAATTATTCCCCATATGAATATGACCATGATCTAATGATGACAAACTCCTTAACAAATACAAGTAGGTAAATTATGTAAGTGTGATGATAAACATTTTCTATTTGTAGCGTTTACTTTTAAATTATTATATCGTAAACATAAATATTTATTAGGGTTCAAGCGTAATAAAAATTAAACGATTGCATGGATTTAAATGACATTGGCGTATCATCCTCGCTCCGCTCGGGTTCGTCCCTAGTTACGTTTTAAGGTTAGCGCCCATAGATTTCTCAGATATGAGATATTTTCCCGTGGTAAAATGTATCCTATATGTTAACCCGGATAACCAGCTATCATAATACCAAATTTCATCAATATCAGTCCAGTGGTTTTCTCGTGATGCGTTCACAGACAGATAGACAAAAATTCTAAAAACTATAGATTCGGCGTCTGCATCGACAATAATGACTATTTCAATAAGATTTTCCAAAAAATATTTATTGTACAGATTCGACTTAGAATTTTACTATCCATATGTATAGATTAGGCACATAATTAGTCTAGAAATTGAGAAAACAACGCGTTTTCGTCGAAGAGTTTTTTTCGTCTTCGAGAAGTCGCAATATCTTTATATATATAATTCTTCTGTGAGTGTGTATGTCACTGAACTTCTCTCAAACGACTGGACCGATTTTGATGAAATTTTTTGTGTGTGTTCAAGGGGATCTGGGAATGGTTTAGATTCACAATTTGAATAATAATTTTCATCAAAAAAAATATTAAAAAAAGTTTGAAATTTTCAAATTAAAGACGTGTAGACAGGACAACGTTTGTCGGGTCCGCTAGTATTTTTATATAGCAATAAACGCTCTTCGCAAGTTTCAGGCGTTTATAAAGAAAGTAAATATTTTTGTCTAATATGAAAATAAAGGAGAAATTCTAAATATTATTTTGTTGCATTATTTCATTGTAAGTTGTAGGTACTAGGTATGTTAACATACTAGGTATGTAAACTGCCTCGGTGGTGTAGTGGCTAGCATGTACGGCTGCACACCCGGAGGTCCTGGGTTCGAGTCCCGGGTCGGGCCAAGTTTAGTTACTGAGTCTTGCTGTATAGTAAGCCTCAGTAATAGCCCGGAGTTGGGAAGTTGGCGGTGTTTCACCCCCGTGCCTCGGAGAGCACGTAAAGCCGTCGGTCCTGCGCCTTAACTCTCACTGGTCGTGTCGAGCAGTCGTCCCACCGGAGTATGAGAGTGACAGGAATAGAGAGTGCACTTGTGTTTGCGCGTACACTTGAGCACTATAATATCTCCTGCGCAGTTGGCTAGTCTCAATGAGACTGGCCGCCGTGGCCGGAATCGGTCAGGAGAACATCATCATGTTAACATTTTCCTCAATTATATTGGTCAACTTTCTACAATACTAAGTCAAAACCACTAGTTTATCGCGTACTGTTAGTAAATGGAAAATGACAGAACAGTTATTTTATTTCCATATGTCATTGACTTTGCGAATACTAATGATTAGAAGGGGCATGCATTTGGTCGTTAATTATCGTATCATTTGTGCTTATGATCTGGTCGAATATTACACTTAAATCTCAGAAATATGTCTTTAAAAGTATTCATATACGTATAGATAGAGTAGGTAAATCATTTTATGTAACAACGAACATAATTTCAAAGGAATTCAATTGGACTTTTTGAATGATTTAAAAAAACGATATTTTGTTACTAATTATGAACTCATTGTATACTTATTTTCTTTATTTTTGACTCAAAATTTTTAAATGTATACAACTTATTATTTTGATTAATATAAAAAATTTTTTTTCTTTCTTCTAGCTTTTGGGTGATCGCGGCGAGAAGTCTCAATCGTCAGCCAGTTACTATGACACAAACACTAGTGTGCTGTTTTATACACAGGTATGCTAACTTCCATTTTATTTATTTTAAATTACTAATACTTAAAACTTTATTATTTTTCCATCGATTTTCCCGTTAGTATAAGTCTAACTATAAGTTACAGCTTAAACTTGAAGTCATTCTATTATTACAATATTAATAATTGCACTCATTCTCCTGACCGAATGTTGCCACGCCGCGCCGCGGCCAATCTCATTGTGACTAGTATGAACGAGGGAGATAGGTATAGAAAGCGGATTGTATTACGGGTGTGTGACACTTGCAATCTTACACTACTCCCAGATGCAGGATCTCCACTGTCCAGCACCCCCTCTGAGAACAAATCTTGACAGAAAAATCTATTAAATATTGTTGACTACATTCGATATATGAACACGCTTTACCTACCAATATTCTGTAAGGGCAAACGACTGAGCTTTGGGGCTTAGGCTATGTGAACATGGTGTGGATAGGCCTCACCATGTTATATAGACACGCAGACTATCATGAACGCGTGTCGTCTGTGCGTATCCTACGTCTTCTGATAAATTTTGAAAATGCATAGATATAGCTCGCATTTTGTTATTATACGATATAAACACGTGACAAACGCGCCTCGACAGCGCCCATTCAAAAGGCCCTCAGGGTCTATACACATAAGTTTTATACTTCTATTTCCTATCTTACTTATCGGCTTTGTATGTTGAAGATAGCGTTTAGTACAATATTTTGAATAAGAACAGAGTTACGGTTAGGCTATTTTTTATTATGGGACCCATGGATCAGTAGATAAAGCTTTAAGAATTGTTTTTACTGTTTATGCATATGTGTAGGAATGCATATGATTATTTCTGATTACGAAATTTTTGATATAATATCATGATTGTCAACTTTTTACCATAACGGAAAAATCGCATCTTTTACATGGTCGTTGTTTAGGTAGCTATCCTTTTATTTTAAAACATTTGACAAGTGCGAGTCTGATTCGCACATCGAGGGTATCGTAGCATGAAACACTTTTATGTTATATTTTGACGTACTAATTTGTTATAAGTTAAAAGTATAACATTAATCTACAATATTCATTTTATTCATATTTTTTATTACGTTTTTTATTGAAAAGTAAGTTTCTGTTCTATAGTACTTGTAATATTGTGAAAAACAAAGCTAGTTTTGCGGCCTAACAGATGAAACGAAAAATACCCCATATCTCCAAAAATGATTATTAAAAATAATTTACCTTTGTCAAAATAATTTACCTTTGTCAAAATAATTTTGAAAGCATTTGGAAAGCTCTATTACGTCACATTTTTTTTTAGAATTTTCCACCCTATACTTCAAAAGTTTTTAAAGTCCCATTTTTTTTATTTTGACTGAATACCTACTTGTTTAGCGTTCCATACGAGACATCTACCTACTAAACTTCAGCAATGTATAACCAATAGTCTTCGAGTAAAATATGTTGGGGCCAATGGATATGACGAAGGATTCCGTTTTAACCTTTTGGCTGCAGGAACCCTAAAAAAACGCATTAATGTCGACTGACGTCCGTGTGTCATCTGATTATTATTCAAAGTATTCGTGTAAAACTTGGGAAATCCAATACTTTATCAACTAAAGGAGGAAAACATTGCTTTAAATTGACTGCTACAACATGCTAACTTTCATTTTTAATTATTCAAAGTACAAAATAAATCAACTGAGGAAAGACTCGTTATTGAAATCATGGCAGTTTACCGTTAAAATAATCGTCTTGTATACATTTTTTTGCGTAGTTTTGGCTAGCCCAAACCTCTGACGATAGAAGTTATAAATTTTGTCGTAATCTTCGGTATGTAAGTGCAAGGATTAACAAATATTTTGAAAACAAAGTGTGTGTTAAAACGCAGTAACTGGGGCAGAGACGCGGGATGACGCTAGTTAATAACCAGTAGTTATATAATATATAAACTAAGCTGCCACATGTATAAAGTGCTAATTCCTATAGAGATGAGTGTTACTGTAAGATAATCTCAATTATTCTCAAGATAACGATTATTATCATCATAATTACTTTATCGTGCCTTGTTATAGGTAAATCGGGATGGCATCGGTTGCTGGAACTCAAATAAGCCTTACACTCCAGCGAACAATCCTCTTCTGTTTAGTGATCCTACTTTGTATGAATTCCTCAATGACCTTAAGGTATTTATATATAATATTATAATCTGCACTATTTTACATAGCCTTTTAACATCACACTACTACATATTATAAATGCAAAAGGTTGTATGTCTGTTACTCCTTCATGCTAGCCGGCTGGACGGATTTGGATAAAAGCCAAAACGCGTCGTGTATAATATTATAAATATAAAAGGTACCTAGGGACGCATTCAAGCTAAGTGTATTGTTAAATTGTTAAATATGTTGATACATTAAGACACAACGCCATCTAGCTCCATGGTAAACTACGATCGCCTGTGTTGTGGATACCAGATAGTTGATACATTACACATATATAACTATAAATATATACATTTGGATTATAAATATAAACACCCATGACTGGAGAACAAACATTCGTGCTCATCACACAAATGAATAAATAAGATAATAAATAATAATAAAAACACACCAGCGGGGCTCGAACCGGCGACCGCTGGAACAGCAAGTAGCGTCACTACAAAATGAGTCAAACGTGTCGTCATGAGAGAATCAGTGAGAGAAGTCCCTAGTATATGATAAAATCAAGTTTAAATTGAAAATGAACCATATTGAAATTAAAAAAGGTTCAAAATTAATTACGATACCTAATCATTTGTATTTTTTATAGGTGGATAACGAAGGTACTTTATGGTTCCTGAGCGATAAACTTCCACGCTTCATATACAAATCCCTTGATCCTAATGATGTCAACTTCAGAATTTTTAGCATTAAAGCAAAAGACGCCATTGTTGGAAGTGCTTGCGAATGATCGTAATTATTTTTATATATTAAATATTAACTTATTTGACCATAAAATATGTCGACTTGTTAATAATGAATTTTTTAGGTTAGTCGGAACTGTATATGAAACCAAACGAAACTGTCAGTCAGAAAGAATGTCTACGGCAGTGTAATAGAATGGTATTGTAAAATAAAAGAAGTAATTAAAGCCTTCAATCGCTATTTTTGCACGCTGCGTTTCTCTATTTTAATGAGAACGATATTTTATTCTGCTTAAAACTAAACAGTTTTAACCTCTCCTGATTTATAATACTTCTTAAGACATATACTGATATAAATATGTTATGAATAAAATATAATAAAATTATCGAGTTATCTTTAATTTTAATTAGTTTATTATAAAATATTCAATGTACAAAGTACAAACAACTAATATTATACAATGTAAGTACCTACAATATGGTAATATTCACATTTCAAGTACTTATTCTTACTGGTAAAAATAATTTCTTAAAATATTTTTAATAGTTCTATTTCTATAAATAAGTAAATAAATTAATTTAACTATATAGAATACTAGCGTCCCTAGTTACATTTTAACTTTAGTATAGATTTCTCAGAGATAGATATTTTCCCGCAGTAAAAATTGTCATAAATATATGTTGACCTGGATAACCGGCTCTCATCATACCAAATTTCATCAAAATCTGTCCAGTGGTTTTCTTGTGATGCGTTCACAGACAGACAGACAGACAAAAATTCTAAAAACTATAGATTCGGCCTCTGTATCATCTATACTACGGACTATTTCAATAAGATTTTCCAAAAAATATTCAATGTACAGATTCGACTCAGAATTTTATCATATGTGTAGAAGACTCTTACTTGTATTGTATATCGATTTTTAAGTATCATAGAGATATCTACGGATAATATTTTCCATTATAAACTAACTGATCTAATTTCGTGTTTTGTATATTATGTGTACCTATTTAGTTCTTTGTTTATGAATTACGTGTGTACCTATTACATTATCACTATATATAACCTTTCTGGAGTTTAATATATTGAATTGAGTGAAATGACACTAGATTTTTTCTATTTATCCTACAAAAAAAAGTACGCACAATTTTTGATACGAATTCCTATAATTTATGTAGTATAAGTTAAATATTAAGATTTGGTTGTGTTGATACCAGTGAAAATTATTTTAGTTGTTATTATCAATAACAACTTTAAACAATATATTTACATATAATTATCTATACATATCTATACGTTATTATCTATACGTAAACATAATTTGTAAATTACATAATGCATGGTCAATAGCAAAGGTTATCTGATTCGTAGCACGACAGTAAGAATAGTGAGTTACAAATAATAATGCTTTGGCTTGACTACTTAGCCCGACTTCGATTCGAACCCAGAACTTCTGCAGCCATACGTGCTAGCCATGAGGCAAATGTTGCAGTCACGTTTTTTATGTGACATAAAAGATAAAAAAGTATTATTTTTGTAAAATTTACCTGTTTAAGTAATAAATATACAATTATGAAAATAAACTAGTGCTTTGGATTTTCATTTCAAAATTGATTTCGTGAACATTATTTTAAATGAAACTATCTTTTCAGATTTTTGTTTTTTATTTTTTTTATCCGATAAAAAAGTTTCATTAAAAATATTCATGTAAATCTAAGAAAGTATTTCATAAAGTTCATGTTTTTGTGTTTTTTACTTTTTAGTGTTTTTTTTCGAAGTCGGTTTTTTAAGTTTTTTGTGGTTAAAATGTACCTACCTACTAAGTATTTTTCTACAAATTTTAATAAGGTATTAATACTTTCTTAGATTAACGCGAATATTTGACATTTAAAATAAAACTATGTTTTCGGATTTTTTCGCGGATTTATTTTCATTTTTCGGTAGGCTGTCTGTAACAACTATATAATGCCTTTGAGAAATCTAAAACCTTAGTCTCTCCCGCGACCATGTGCTCTGTAAAGTATTCGAAACGTCAAGAACCAAATATCAAAATAAATACGCGAAAAAATCCGAAAAATAAAGAATAATAAAAATTTGATTGCTTTGCTATACGTGTGAGAATGTCCTCTTATACGTCAATAAAAAATATTTTAAAATTACATTAATAAAATAATTATAAACTGCCCTTAATATGGGGATATGTAATGTAATATTAGCTGTTATTTTTTATGATTTCTTTCTTTTTATACTTATTATTATATTATTTTCTTTTTACCTGACTGCGGCGAAAGGAGCCCAAAGGAGGTTTATGTGTTTGACATGTATCTATGTAAGTATGTATGTATGTCCGACCCTACGTTCCCAACGCAACCGATTTTGAAGATTCATACGTCGTTAGACTCGTCTTGATAACGCGATTGTCATAGTCATAGGGTATATAGGTATCATTAAAATCCAAAAGGGCGGGTCCTAGGTGCCAATTTGTGTGTCTTGAAAAAATTTTATTCGCCCGAATTAATCGAGTGGGGTATCAAAATATAGGGTTTTTAAGAGGCGATAACAAAAATATACCAACCTATATGTTTAAAAATAATTTAGGATAAGAAATTGATAAATAAAACTAAAAAATATCTAACTGACTCAGCTAAAACGCTGTAAATAAAAAAACGTGTGTGTAGGTACTTATGTACGCATGTAAGAAGTTATACTTCTTTGGCGTAACAAAACAAAAATTTCATTTCATCCCGTATGTCACAACTCTCTGTTTTTAAAAGGAATGCAGCTAATTTCATCATGTCGCTTTTTGGCTGTCGGTGTGCTCGCGAATCTAAAAATTTTGCTCTCATATTTTTCCAAACGTGCCAAAAGAAGTGTAACTTCAAATAATTTACAAAAATTATAAAAAAAACCGACAGTGTAAAAAGCAAACTAAAAAGACGAGAACAAGTTCACGAAGAAATACACATAAAGTACAAATTATGCAGTAAAATATGTGTACATGCCATTTTTGAATTTAGGTACAATTTGTATACGTGTCCATGCCGTTTTAAGCAATCACACGTATGTACACTATATGTAGTATAATTTGAAAGTGAATGAATGAAAGTTTTTTTCCCGTTCCCTTTCCTCATTATATTATTTTATGCAATAGGTACTAATAGTTTAACCTAACATCTATTTGATTGCGAATTTCGGGTAGTATACCTAAGTTAAAATGCGGTATGGAATGTTCCTTTCCTTTTCCTTTATTTCCTCAAATTTTATACTTTAATATAAAATATTAAAGATAATATAATAATATTCATATTTACTATATATTTAATATTTATTATTACATTTTTTTATATTTTATACTTTTATACCTAATACTTCAAAATCTATAAATTCTCCTTTTAATTTTTGGACCATTTCGATAGAAGCCTCATTAATTAAACTCATACATTGTTTTTATCACGGTGTCAGCAATTGTTTTCCTATATATACTACAGTTATAGGCTATAGCTCTTTGATGAAGACTTGATGTGTACCGATAACTAGTTTGTTAATTGGATAGCGGACTTGGAGCCGCCATTCGCTCGAGCATCGTGCGAGAAGGACATTGTGTTGCAATTGGCAATTGTTGTGCAAAATGGCGCCAAACTTTAAGACTGAGAAAGTGGGAATTGTAGGCAGGTAAGGCATATTTTGATTAAATTAATTGAATTTATAGAGCCAAGGTAATCGTGAGGTATCATCCTTAAAATTTACGTGTGTTAGGCACATATGTATCTAATTGTAAGTCGATTATGTGGTGATTTGTTACAAATTAAACAATTTCAGTTTAGGTATAGATTAAACCCGTTACATTAGTATTATTTTCTCATTCTTTCCGTGTACGAGATTCTGATGAATTTGTTTACTATGTATTTAATAAATAAAATTTCCAGTAATATATCAAACATATTATATGTAAGATAAGCTAATATAGTACTTAATATGCATAATACAATAAAATACCTGAATGTTTGTAAGTATATGAATTTACCATCCTTCGTTTTACAAGACTTTTCTTCGACTACAAGAATTAATATTTTATTGGCTAAACATATCCATTGTATTTAAATACTAGCCACTCACCCTCGCCTCGCTCGGGTTCGTCCCTAGGTACGTTTTCATTTTTTTGAGCGGAACCCTAATTCTTTTTCTAAAATAAAAGTAGCCTATGTTACTCCCTATAAATAACATCAGCAATCTTCCAGTGAAAGCCCCGTCAAAATCAGTCTAGCCGTTTCAGAGATTATCCGGAACAAACAGACAGACAGACAAAAAAATTAAAAATTGTTTATAAGTACCGTATGTAATTTCATATGCATTTAGTAAAACGCTGTTATTTTGACATTACAAACAGACACTTCAATTTTATTTATCTGTATAGATTAAATACAAAAACGTTTTTTGGTTAAAGAAACCTCCCTAGTAGGAACGACCTTCACCTACTTATCATCTATAGGTATATCTTCTGTATACGTAGACAGCACAGTCCACAGACACGGTAATGTAATGCATAAATATTACCGTGGCACATATCATATTATAATACTATACTAATAGTAGACACAAACGTTAGATTTATATGGACTAGCTATACCTAAATGCTATTGATTGATAATGAATTATAGAAATAATTATTGAGATGCTATAGAATAATTGTTGAGATCTTTTAGACGTTATAAGACTGAATTCCTAATTTTTAATTCAACTGGTAAAGTACCTCCTGATAATAATAGGATAGTGACTAATGTGAATATCTCATATATTTAAACGAGCAATTTTTATATATATATATATATATATCTGAATCTCGGAAACGGCTCCAACGATTTTCATGAAATTTAGTATACAGGGGGTTTCGGGAGCGATAAATCGATCTGGATTAGTCTTAAGTCCAGGAAAACGCGTGTTTTCGAATTTTCATGCAGTTTTCTTTTGGTTTATTCCACGCAAAATATTATGTTCGATAATTTCGCACGCTCGGGCATAAGCATCATGTTCAAGCGGCCAAGGCGTAAGTGTCCGGGTTCGAATCCCGGTCGGATACAAAGGTATAATTTATTTTTGTTTTTTTTTGTATTTTTTCAAGTTTTTGTTTTTTTTTAAGAAAATTGTACTTTCGACCAAAAACTCCGAGCGAAGCTCGGTAGCCCAGGTACTAATGTTTATATGTTAGACGTTAGTGCCTTAAACTGTGTCTACAAAGCGGAAACGTAAAACCCGTTTTCAGAGATTATTATTATCTAAATTGACTAATAACAATTAAAGTAATATTACTAAAATTGAATGCATGCCTAAAAATTTAAATTGATAACTTTTAAAACTACATACTTGCATTTTCTGTAATAATTTTACAAAAGTTCTAAAAGTTGAAAATTCGGCTCTTAAGTTGTAGGTATGTACCTATATATTCATAGATGCTGAGCTGCCTTTTGGGATTTTAAATTTGTTGATCACTTAATAATTATACTTAATTCAAAGTATATACCTTTTCGGCAGCTTTTGTGCAAACAACATTTATCGAAATTTCACAAAAATAATCACAAACAATAAAATAAAAAAGGACACCGCAATACAGAAAGTAGCAACTTAAGAAATTTAATAACGACCACTATGGTGATAATAGTACTAGTATAATATTATATCATTTATGAATCTGGTATTATCCTAGCCATGTTGCTCAATATAGCCTTTTTAATAATATAATTTTATTTTATTGTTTAAAACTATAGCTTAAACGCATTGGAAAAAAGTACTAAAAATTTTTTATTATGCATTCAAAAATTGTTTTTTTTTAAATAAAAAATACCGGCTTTTTTTAAATTTTAAGTAAAATAATTGCTTTATTTTATTTTTAAGAATCAAAGTAAATATTTAATGTATAGATAACAGTAGATAACATTACATGGTATGTATACTATAAGGTTAATTTACATAAGATAACATTCAAGTTATAGTTTAATAATATATTATTGAGACACTCGAAACACTTCTCGAAATATACAGAACAATATTATAACAAAAAAGTTGTACCACTGATATTTTTTTAATTTTTACATAATCATAATAAAATATATCTACATATTTTTTTTATAGTATTCTGAATAAATATTTATTTAATTATTAATTATATATAAATATTTCAGTATATAATAATTTTATATTCCAGTGGTTTAATTGGAAGATCATGGGCAATGCTCTTCGCATCAGTTGGTTATCAAGTTACAATTTTTGACATCGTGCCGAAGCAAGTGTCTGACGCGCTTGCAGATATCAAAGTACAGCTGAAAACCTTAGCAAAGGATGGGTTATTGCGCGGTACACTTAATGCGGATGAGCAAATAAGTTGTATTAAAGGTAAATTATTATTAGGCAAACCAAATTAAATCTCTCCCACGGAAACCGCACTTTTCAACCGAATTCAAAAAGGAGGAGGTTCTCAATTCGACTGTATTTTTTTTTTATGTTTGTTACCTCAGAACTCCGTCATTTATTAACCGATTTGGACAATTTTTGTGTTGTTTGAAAGTGTATACTTCCAGATTGGTCCCATTTAAATTTAAAAAAAAAATACCACCCCTGAGGGTGGAAAAATAGCTAATGATGAATTTAACCTACTTCTTATTGTCATATTGACTTGAAACTTTGCAAGTGTTTCTATTTCCGTTGATAGTACAGTCGTTCAGTATTGTTGACCTGATCTGATAGTATGGCCAGAAGGTATAGGTGGAACTCTTCAACGGCTAATAGTAGATACTTTGATTTTGGCCTTTTTTTGTTTGATTTGACAAGCCTAACACGTTAGAATTCTTACTTTGCTACTACTGTCTACACTAAAAAGGGAAAAATAAAAACTTTTTAAGAACAAAATAAAAACCGACTTCAAACAAAAGCACTAAAAAGTAAAAAATAACTGATTGGTAGTTTCCATTTACTATACATACCTAATCAAATATTTTCGGTGTACTTTGGCTAAGTAATAAAAGCCTAGCTATTAAATACATACCTAATCAAATATTTTCGAAATCGGTGCCAGCCCATACAAAGCAAAGCACACCGACTTCGAAAATATTTGATTTATATGCCAAATTTTTTATATGCCAAATTTGATCCAGATCCGTTCAGCCGTTCTGGTGTGAAAGAGTAACAAACATCCATACTCACAAACTTTCACATCTATACATATAATGAAATTATAACTATCCGAATCTGTTCATTAAATATTTTTTTGAAAATCTTATTCAAATAGACCGTAGTATCGATACAGAGACCGAATCTATATTTTTAAGAATTTTTGTCTGTCTGTCCGTTACCGCATCACGGATATGATGATAGCTGGTTATCTGGGTCAACATAAAGGATACTTTTTAATGCCGGAAAACATCTCATCTCTGAGAAATCGATACTAAACGTTAAAACGTAAGTAGGGACGAACCCGAGCGAAGCTAGGGTGAGTAGGTAGTTTATAATATCAATATAGATGTAATTGTTTAAATTATTTCTATACATATTTTTCAGGCACGACTGACTTATCAACAGCAGTTAAAGATGCAGTTTTCGTCCAAGAGTGCGTGCCCGAAAGCCTCGAGCTCAAAAAAAAAGTTTTCCAAGACCTAGATAAAGTAGTCGATGATAGAACTATTTTATCCAGTTCCACAAGCACTACCTTGCCTTCGCTCTTTTCGGAAGGATTGAAACACAAGTCTCAGGTTTGTTTTCTTTACTTGTCTATTTAATTATTTTTTACCATTATAGCAACTTAGAGTCATAATTATCATATGTTTTAAGTATTGGATGAAATGTCTCGATTCCATTTTATTTAAGTTTACATGCTTGTCGAGTTCATATTGCCGATAATAAGCACGAACGTACGAAATTAAGCAATAAACAGGTTATGTTTGCCAATTAAATTTTTGCGACGAGAAAGTATTTCATTGCATTAATATGTTATTTAATGAGATGCGATAAAGAAATTTAACATTATATGAATTACTAGCGACTCACCCTCGCTTCACTCGGGTTCGTCACTAGGTTAATTCCCCATACAAACTTTCATCCCCATTTTAACCCCCCTAAGGGATGATTTCCGATCTTATATCCTACCCAGGGTCTCAAACTATCTTCTTACCAAATTTCATCTATATTGGTTCAGTAGCTTTCCCCCTATAACCTCAAAAACTCACAAATTTTACCTCTTTATAATATTAGTATATTATAGATTTAGAGGTACTCTTTATAGTTTTACAGGTACCTACCAAAGTTGTAATAAACCAGTGATGTTTAACTGGCTATCTATAATGTATAATGGATTATAGATAGCTAGTTGAACATCATTAGTTTTTTACACCTATATATTTACATTTAAAAAGAAACCGGTTCTGATTAACTATCTATGCATTATTCAAGTAACATACACAAGGACCCTTATGTACTTACCTTTAGTTATCTTATTTGAGGGTTTGCACCATACATTATTTAATAGTTTCTTCGTAAATCTGTGTGTCTACAAAGTCTGAATAACTTTACAGGTCATCGTGTCGCATCCAGTGAATCCTCCTTATTACGTGCCATTGGTAGAAATCGTTCCTGCGCCGTGGACGAAACCCGAAGTTGCTAAGAAGACCAGGGAAATTATGTTAGAGATAGGCCAGGAACCTGTGTCTTTGTCCAGAGAGATCGATGGCTTTGTCTTAAATCGTATCCAGTAAGTTCTCAATAGATATTATTACATTATTAATTATAATGCATGTTAATAAAAATGTAGGTAATTTTACATTATAAGTTTTTTTATATCTAACAGTATTATAATAGAATGTAGGTTATTTAAACATTTAACCGCATATAATCATTTTATTTTGAAGATTTTACACTTATGTAATATTTTGGAATCACAAAAATTCAAGTTGTAAAATACAATTTACCTTAATGTAGTAAAATTCGTCATATCTCTGACATTAAAAATAATGTTAAATGTTTTTTTTAGATATGCCATTTTAAATGAAGTCTGGCGCTTAGTCGACGACAAAGTTGTGGATGTACAAGATATTGACAAAGTAATATCTGAAGGCTTGGGAATGCGATACGCTTTCCTTGGTTCCTTAGAGACGGCGCATTTGAACGCGGAAGGCATGAAGAGCTATATTGAAAGGTACCTAATATCTTAAATTGTCCTTAATTACAATAATCTAGAGAACACATATATTATAATATGTTCTCCTAGCCGATTCCGGCTACGGCGGCCAATCTCATTGAGACTAGCCAACTGCGCAGGAGATATTATAGTGCTCAAGTGTACGCGCAGACACAAGTGCACTCTCTATTCCTATCACTCTCATACTCCAGTGGGACGACTGCTCGACACGACCGGTGAGAGTTAAGGCGCAGGACCGACGGCTTACGGCTACAGCTTTTTAACTGCCTCGGTGGTGTAGTGGCTAGCATGTACGGCTGCACACTCGGAGGTCCTGGGTTCGAGTCCCGGGTCGGGCTAAGTTTAGTTATTGAGTCTTTCTGTATATTAAGCCTCAATAACAGCCCGGAGTTGGGAAGTTGGCGGTGTTTCACCCCCGTGCCTCGGAGAGCACGTAAAGCCGTCGGTCCTGCGCCTTAACTCTCACTGGTCGTGTCTCGTGTCGTCCCACCGGAGTATGAGAGTGACAGGAACAGAGAGTGCACTTGTGTCTGCGCGTACACTTGTGCACTATAATATCTCCTGCGCAGTTGGCTAGTCTCAATGAGATTAGCCGCCGTGACCGGAATCGGTCAGGAGAACATCATATTATAATATGTTGAAAAATAAATGGCACGTAATAGTTAAATTTTAGCAGTGTAACAATTATTATCGCGGTTTCAGAACTTTATACTGAACGTTAAAATGGGTACCGCTAAAATTCGCACTATTTAGGTTATGCCTGAAAATAATGTTACCGAAACTTCCCATCAAAGTTCTTCCTTATATTTATTTACAGACGATCGTTGGTAAAAATATATATCACAAATCACAATAACCTTTGTGTTAATCCCCGAAAGAAAAATATAATGTATTTGCGATACGCTATATTGTATTATTTCATTAAAAAACCTCCAGTCCTTGTGTTTTTTTTATTAAAAAAAAAATCTATTTTTTTTAGATACGGAGAAACAATCTACAAAGTGAGCAACACCTTCGGTCCAAACCCTCTTATGACGACTTCAAAAAGCGCGGATACCATTTGCGAGCAACTCAACGCTATGGTGCCAATAGACCGGCTACAAGAGCGCCGCGCGTGGCGGGACGCTTGCCTTACACGGTTGGCGTTATTGAAAAAAGAGATGAACGCTAAATACAATAAAAATTGATAAAAATAAATCATTTAAACTATTTTCAGATGCTTATATTTTGTGAAACAAATTAAAATAGAAAATCGTCTTATGTATATGCAATATTTGTTATTTGTTAATAAAAAACAGGATTTTTTTTGCTTCATTTCAGAATATTAATTAGTACCATGCGTCCGCGTCACCAAAAAAGTGCGTTCAAAGTGTCTTTGAATAAAAAATACGACTACTTCCATTAATTTATCCGTTTCCTTTTGTGTTTGTTTGTTTCTTGATCGATTTTTGGCTTAGTTATTGTTATATAAAAATTGGATAATAGTTTTTTGAGAATCGAGAAAGAAAGATCATTTATTTAGAAGGAATTAAACGAAGTGTAATCGTTTACCAGAATTAATTGTTCCTATAGTATTATTTGTTGGCGCATCAGCATGAAGTTGGTGCAAAAAAAACTTTTTGTTGCAATAGAACAATGTTTAAAAAAATTAGACTTGCAACGAATATTCGGCTATCATTCGGTATTCGGCTACTTTTATACTATTCGCCCGAATACTTGAGTAATATGTTATGTTGTAATCAAATAATAATAGGGAATATGCGTGTGACGTAATGAAAGGTGAAATGTTTTTTTTTAATAATCTTTAGTGCTTTTGAAATAAGCCTACATTAATATTTTTTCATGAAATTACCTTATGATTAAGAAAATAATGATTAAAAAGTGCAAAAACAAGTGGGGAATCCAAAGCAGTTGAATAGCAACGTCATTGGTCGGACCGAATATGACGTCAGAGTACCTATATCTTATCAGAGTGATTAGCGATTTTGTCGCTAATTAAGTCGTCATTTCTGTGTATATCATACTGTGACGTCACGCCAAGAGCGCGAAATGGCGAGCGTTTAATGTATCTGTAACGGTATATTTCAATTTTTTTATACTTAATTTTAGTTTTTTTGGAGTTGGATATTTTTTTGGAGTTGGATATTTTTTTGGAGTTGGATATTTTTTACAATCTATTGTGTAAAAGCTATTGTATAAAAAACTGAAAAAGATTCTTGCGTATTTCTTATTGGAAAAATGAAAATATTGATTTACTTTATAATAATACTTTATAAAAAGAAAGAGATCTATCCCGTTCATTTTTCCATGATGAAAAGTAACCTGTTGTTTGTCTGGCAATATAAGGCATGCCAAATTTTACCAAATTGCAGTGCATAAGTTGTTGTGTACTAAGCTGTATAAGTTACTATAGTTTTTTTTAACTATCCCACGGGAACTCTTTAATTTTCCGGGATGAAAAGTATCTAAGATGTTGCCCGGGGATATAAGGTACCACCATGCAAAATTTCATTTAAATCGGTCCAATAGATTCGGAGATTAGCCCGTACAAACAGACAAACAGACAGAGAAACAAAAAAATTGAAAAAAATCTGGATTTGCTGTATTTGTCTTCTTACATCCCCCTGACTCGGTTTTTAGCATTTTTTTTCTATGTACAGACATTCGACCTCTACAGTTTTATTATAGTATAGATAGATTATATTTTTTTTATAATTATTAAAGTAGTCATAGGTACATAATCACCTCCAAATATTTATTACAAAAAATAATAAATAAACTATCAAATAAATGTCTATACACTTGCATAATCATAATTAAAATTTAGAAGTGGATAATTATGATGTAAAAAATACTAATTGTTCTGCATTTTTAGGCAGTAGTTTACTCCTAGACAATGCCAAATTCAGAGAAAAGACACTCGGAATAAATACTATTTTCTGGCGCCAAACAGAAAATAAACACGTTGATACAAGTTTTCCCGCCACGCGCTGGCCGAATACTTTTGCCTAATATTCGACTATTCCCCCAGAAAGCCCGCCGAATATTCGGCATTCGGCGTTTGGCCGAATATACTATTCATTGCAAGTCTAAAAAAATAGAAGCATACATATAACTCGGCAATTATTTACATGAATAAAAAATCACCTTAGAAGCATCTATCTCACTATGATTAATTTTTTCATGTCTTTATTATGACTAATTTTTTTTAACATGCTCTAATTAGCTTCATCTGTATCTATCTATTTATTAGTCCAAGATCCCAGGGCCGCCAGACGTCATGTATTTTCTGACGAACGAAATGTGGACGATTGGGTAGTGTTAGTATGTACTAAGATCGCATGCCTACCTGCTAACTTGATTAGACGGCCAATTTCCAGGTATGAGGTAATCAAGGTACCTCAAAAGATTACTTACCTCACGTACATTCATTCTCCAAGCTGATTTTCATGTATATTTTAGACAATATCGTTAAAAATAAGTCGTCAATACTCCCAGACATTTTCCGTCGGCCGTATTGCTTTGCAGACGCTTTAAAGGTCCCAAAATAATTACTTAACTTCACGTAAATTTTGATGCTCCATTTTTCAAAAATATATTTTTGGCCAGACAACTATTTTAAAACCTTTTACCTTTACCTCTTACCTTTTTGATCCAAGGGGCCAATCATCCCCTAAACTCAATTTTAGTGCCTCTGTGGATAGGAAACAAATACTTTTCAAAGATAGCGATAAGACCTCACTCGCCAGTATCGTCAACTGATACCACTAAAAACGATAGCCTCCTTTAGAGATTGATTCAGATTTGATACCAAACTATTAAAAGATACTTGTATTTAAAAATACTGATTAATTCCAGCGTTTTATTCTTCTTTCATCTTAATTATTTTAATTTTGAATTTATACTATCAAACTAATGTTTATATTTAAATTTAAAAGTGAAATATTGGTATTAGGTAAAAAAGCATAGATTTATTATAAAAAAAATTCTTGTCATATAAATAAAATAATGTCTTAATGAATTAATACGATTACCTATAAAAAAATATTTTTAAAACTAGTTTTTGTATTAGTTTTATTCATATGTATAGTTCGTTTCAACGAATAGTTCCTATGGCGTTATGTTGGCAGCGATGTTTTCCAGTGCTGTCACATTATCTATAATAACCCACCTCAAAGTAAGGGTAATTTCAAGTATGTTTTTTTAGTTAGATTCTTATATATTTACAAATTATTCGATTTCTGTTTTCTAATGTTTACGCGAATTTCACTCATTATAATAAAACAACTTTTACGCCGCTACTTTACTATGGCGATAAAATCAGTAAAAGTTGTTTCATTATAAATTATTCAATTATCATTTTAAAAATCAGAAAAGTAAAAAAAGCATAAATTATTTAATATTTTTTATTATAATTGTGATCAATCAAAAAATGCTACTCCAACGGACTTATTCCCGAGAGATCGTCGTCAACTTCATCTTCCTCATCATCCTCGTCATCAGAAGTGTCGCTATCGTCTCCCACTTCAATTATGAACCTCTCCATCTCGCTATCAATAACTGGGCCATCGGCGTAATATTTTTCTTCCACTTTTTTCACATGCTCACATTCTTTTCTCCATTCTTCTTCGGTGATCGTTGCAAAGGCTTCTTCTGTGATTTGGACGATTTTATTTGCTTCTTGACCTATGTTTTTTTCAGCAACTCGTCTTTTTACGACACTCCATATCAGCTCTATTGGGTTTAAATCACAGTGGTAAGGTGGAAGTCTTACCACTTTATGTCCATGCGCTTCCAACATTATATCGGCTTCATAAACGGGCGGCTGTTTGTGCTCTTTTATTATTTGAAATAGCTGGGCTTTTACCATAGTTGGCAAGTAAGAAAGACCATTACTTGATATCCAATTTTGCATTTCTGCCTTTCTGCTTGACATTGTTGGTGCTTTGTTAAGTTGTACTGTGTGGTAGGAGGCGTTATCCATCACCACAATTGATTGGGGAGGCAGATTTGGTATAAGCTTTTCACTAAGCCACTTATTAAAATTCGTTTTATTCATATCGTCGTGATAATCGGCCGCTTGTGACTGAGATCTGAAGATCAGTTGAGCATTGGGTATGAAACCCATAGCACCACCCGCGTGGACGATAATCCAACGTGGCCCTTTAGAGTCTGATGATAATACACCTTCTTCTTGTTCGCTTTGCCAACATTTTCCGGCGCAATATGTTGCGTGTATATATGTCTCGTCCAAATATACAACTGGGCGCTGGTTTCCGAGACGATTATTTCGTAATTCTTCCAGGTATCGATAACGCCAGGCGACAATATCGTATCTCTCCATTAGGACTTTTCTTTTGGATCTACATTTTTTAAAATAAAACCCGATATCTTTCATTATTCTCCACAAAGTGGTACGACTTCCTTTGAAACCTATCTCGCTTCGCATTTCATGCAATAACTTTGTAAGAGTAGGTAATTCCTTTTTTACGGAATAAAATTCATGTATTTTATGCCTAATAGCACACCGTTCGAAGTCATCCAGTTCGATTTTTTTAGGCCGGGGACCGCTTTTGCGTGGTGTTGAAACCTTAGTCGACGTGCTGGCAGCGACCTCACCTTCTTTGGTGATTTTAGACACGGTTTTTTCGGACACACCTAAAACAAATATTTTGATTTATTTATCTATTGTCAACGTCATACATAAACCAATAATAGTCGCAGTACACATGCTTGCGTAGATCTTACAAATAACTACCGTTTAAAAAAAATTGCGGTTAAAGTGTGGAAATTATAATTTCTCTATCTGCTACTGGTAACCCTATTTGACTGACCTGTAACACATCTTAAAGGAATTAATGGTGCATTATTACGTTTTTCACGTTCACAAAAGTTCTTCACCTTTAACGCCATCATTCTTTCACCACTTTTTAATGTTTTGGGCATAATTTTAGTCGAAAATCAAATGAAAATAAACAAAATCTGCGGGAGCGTCTTCTCGTGCCAAAGACTTTGACAGAGAGGGAGGCCAACATAACGCCATAGGTTTAGGTACTATTCGTTGAAACGAACTATACTTTGTTTAGCTGTGGTCATATAGATAATAAAACTACAAACTTGACGGTTTTATAAATTATCTGTGGTATACTTGCGATATTTCAATTTTCATGGATTCATATTTTATTTACCTTCAATCATTGCAAATAAAAATCTAATTTTTATAAAAATCTTTACTCCACCATGTATGGTTGGAATATATTTTGAGATATGTGTAAATTATTTTTTTAAATAGGATATATGTATCGGTGAGAGGCCTCGTAGTTAACATAAATTTACGGACAGTTTTTCCAAATGTGTTGTTTTGATAGATAATGGATCCAAGAATGTGTAGGAAAATCAGTAGTAGTGAAAGTCTTCCAGATGCTGAAAATGTGGAATTTGAAGTATCACACATCATTGCACCGCAAGAAAGTGAAGATAATTTCTTATTGGAGGGCAGCCCAGAACGGCACTCCGTTACCTGGCTTGACGATGATCAAATAGATGACTTAGATGTTAATTTAGATCAAACTAATCTATTTTTTCATAGAGTTGATAGTGCAGATGTTATATATCGAAGCAAAAAGAAAAAATGTAAAATGGTAGGAAAATATGTTATGGGCGACGTGTTAGGCGAAGGATCCTATGGCAAAGTTAAAGAAATGTTAGATTCTGAAACCTTATGTAGAAGGGCTGTTAAGATATTGAAAAAACGAAAGCTACGAAGAATACCAAATGGTGAACAGAATGTACAGAGAGAGATACAATTACTGCGAATACTTAGACATAAAAATGTGATAGAACTAGTCGATGTAATGTACAATGATGAGAAACAAAAAATGTATTTAGTTATGGAATTTTGTGTGGGTGTACTTCAGGTAAGTAGAGAGCATAAAGGAAAACAATATAACAAGTTATCTGAAATAACAAATATGAAATAATGTAAACTTTTTATTTTAATATGTTTAGGATATGTTAGAGTCTAGTCCTGGCAAGAAGTTTCCTCTGCGCCAAGCGCATGACTACTTCACTCAGCTACTGGATGGCTTAGAATACCTACATGGTCAGGGTGTAGTACATAAAGATATAAAGCCTGGAAACCTGTTATTAACTTTGGACCAGACACTAAAAATAACTGATTTTGGTGTTGCTGAAGTGAGTACTACATCTTATTTTAGTATCTTTTGTGATAAATGTGATTTTATTTTATTAATCTGTTGTGATACTTAAATTATAATATGTTGCTTAACTGTGTAAATTATTGAAGGACTACTTTAACTGTATAGGTCTTCATTTTAATATTCATGCATTCAATTTCCAGTATTTTGTATATATAATTGTATTCTAGTAATATAATAATTATATTTAGATTTTAAAATGTGTGAGGCTTGATTGAATGATTTGACTGTCAAGCATTACACTTTAATGGATAGATTTATGATTATAATTAATTTCAGGCTTTAGATTTGTTTTCTCCAGAAGATACTTGTTATACAGGACAAGGCTCACCTGCCTTTCAACCCCCAGAAATAGCAAATGGTGCTGAAACTTTTTCTGGAGTTAAAGTTGATATTTGGAGTAGTGGAGTCACTTTGTAAGTAAAATATTTATTATTAAGTTAACAGTGCATTCTCTCTTAATTAATACAATTTAAATAAGAATTATCTATGAGTATACCTGCAGATATTGACTTCATGGTCATCTTGTTAAGAAATTTATAATATGTTGTCCATATTCAATAAATTCATACTGGACCATATTAGGATTCAAATACAAGAGGTTGAAAGTACAATGAGTAGGTACTCAATATATGATGATGTAGGATGATTGTAGAAATCCAAAATGTTAATCTTATGTCAGTTTCGAGCAGCTATTTTACTACCTGCTAATTATTCTCTTACCATATATATAGTAATTGCGATTACATTAATTAATATACACTTGGATTACCAAGTGTAATTAATATAATCATGATTGAAACATTGTTTTTCCTCTATTTATAATTATACTAGCATTGCCCGCGGCTCCGCCCGCGTTCAGATGACCAAAAACTAAATTCTTAGGTGTTACATATTAGTATACTCTTACATTGCAGTTTTTGTATTTTTCCTCAGAAATAAGATATTTTCCCGCGGTAAAAAGTATCCTAGGATCGCGCGCTACATCGCCCGGTTTATATAGCTTGAGCAGGCGGTCGAGCGATGCGGGGCAGAGGGGATGGACTCGCCGTAGGCATCTCAATGCTCGCCAAGCATTAAAAATGTTTCGCTACTAATTACTTCTAACAACGATATCTCAAAAACTATTCATCTGATTGATTTAGTGTAAAGAGCAATTTTAATCTGCATTAAATGACTAAGCTAACTAAAATATTCATTTGGATAAGGATTAATACCGAACTAAAGAAAATAACTTTGAAAATAACGTAATGTTTTTAATTAAAAATGTTAACATAAAAGTGGTTATTGTAAGTCAACCGTAAGAGATAGAGATATGCTATCGCGGACTTTTTTGTAGCATTTTTATAGATTTTGAATTCTCTAGTACATTACTTAACTGTATCTTTGCTAGTTTACGCGGCGTTCGCGTGGAAAGTTCCCATTTGGCGAGATTTTTTGCGACCTCTTCAACATTTGTCGCCGTATTTCAGCTAATTTACATAAAAGCATAATAAATTATATACCTAAACCTTCCTCAAGAATTACTCTTTCTATTGTTGAAAACCGTATAAAAATCCGTTCAGTAGTTTTCGAGTTTATCGCGTACAGACAGACAGGAGGACAGACAGGAGGACAGAAAGACGCGGCCGGGGGACTTATTTTTATAATAAGTATAGATTCATAAATACATGTTTATTTTATTGTTTCTCGCAACATACGGATTCTGAGGTTATATTATGTAAAGGAATATTTATTGAATCTTTTGACAACTGCAATTTTTTTTAAATAATAATGACTTTCATACTGAATGCATCTAGGGTGCAGCTGAATGGATAATTTTTCTTGTAAAATATGGTTTTTGTAAGATACTTCGAAAATGGCAATTTAAATGCTTAAGTATTAGCCATTGTATATATATATATTTTATATATATATATATATATATATATATATATATATATATATATATATACACATATATATTATTTATTTATTGAAAAAAAAATTAAATTATGTTAAAGCACTTAAAAAGGAGTCATTATTAATACACTTAAATGTCTTTCTTTGAATTAACTACCCTCTGCTTTGCACTTAGTAGGTGCTTTATTATAGACATAAAATCATATACATACATACTTTATATAAAGTGTTATTGAGGCTTGAGAACTTAAGATAAAGAATACCAAGTTTAAATGTAAATAAGTATGTTATTGGCAATGAGTCAGTAGCAATATTATTCAAATGTGAGATTGTCAACAATACAGTTGGAGTGAGCTGACCTAAATTCTTATATCACAAAAAATAACAGTTAATGCTTATGCAGTTTAGCTACTTTTCAATTTTAAAATATTCCATTACACTTTATTTTGAACACAATAGAATATGTTAAAAGGTTCACATAAAACTTTCTTATTTTTACGAATACTTCAGAAATAATTGACGTTTTAAATAAAACTATCTTTTATGATTTTTAGTTTTATTTAGTACTAGCATTGCCCTCGGCTCCGCTCGCGGTCAGGTAGGTTTTACATATTAGTACGTACGTTGCAGTTTTTGTATTTTTTCTCAGAAATAAGATATTTTCCCGCGGTAAAAAGTATCCTATATGTTGACTTGCATAACCAGCTATCACCATACCAAATTTCATCAAAATCCCTGTGATGCGGTAACAGACAGACAGACAAAAATTCTAAAAACTATAGATTTGGCCTCTGTATCGTTCATAATGTTTATTTTAATAAACATTATTAACAATACAGACAACACAAAATGTTCCAAAAAATATTTAATGTACAGATTCGGCTTAGTTACATTTTATTATATGTATAGGTTTAGTATGCTACTACATTTTTAATCGACTTTTGCTATATCTCAATACAGCAAAGCTGTTATCACTCAAATGTTTTTTTGGTTCTTTTTATTGAAGTTTCTGAACAAATTACGTTTCAGGTTATTTTGAAAAATAAACATTTATTGTTCACAGATATAATATGACAACTGGACGATATCCATTCGAAGGTGACAATGTTTATCGGCTATTAGAGGCTATAGGCAGGGGTGAGCCCGCGCCACCTCCCTCTTCCCTAGGATCTTCCCTACAAGCCCTTTTAATTCATATGCTCAAGAGAAATCCAGACGAACGACCTTGTGTACAGGAAATACGGCGGCACGAGTAAGTTATGTTTGAAATCTCTTTAATCTCGTTAATTATACTTATTTAGTCGTATAAAGCCTACTAATCGCACTAATAGTATTCTAAGCCCCATGAAAGATTACAGATCTATTGTTTTAGATTTTCATATGACATGATATCATTATGACATTATCCTTAATTTACCTCTATATATATATATATATATATATATATATATATCTTCTTAGATGTAAAATTTCCATGTCACAATGTTTGTTACCGTACTCCTCCGAAACGGCTTTACCGATTTTTACCAAATTTTATATGCGTATTCAGTAGGTCTGAGAATCGGCTACTATCTATTTTTCATACCCCTAAGTGATAAGGATAAGGGTGGTCCTCCCAGACCCCACCCCATTTATATATATATAATTAATGTACATATTTTCAATATAAGTAAACAAATTCCAGAGAGATGACCTGCATTTTAAAACAATATTGCATGACTAAGTAAATGAATTCATTATGAGTCAACACTTTAATATGCATATATGTAATATTAAATGAAGTAATTTTTCCTTATTATTAAATTTTAATTTGGTACTACTTTATAAATCGTATATTTATTGTATACTGTAAGAAATAATTCAATCTGTCTTTAGGGTTTAGAATTTGGATGAAAATGGCCTAATAGGTTCATTCATGAGTTTGTCTATCAATTGTCACTAAGTGCACCAACCTAAATGTTTAAATCTGGTGCTTACAATATAATTAGACTGATTCAGGGAGTTTTTGGTAGTAATAAATAAAAAAAATATTAGGCTATGTGCGTTAAACTAATGAAGTGTATGAATATTATGTACCAATTATAAAATTTGAAAGTAATTAAAAAATATATATACATACATGAAAATTGTCTATTCTTCAATCTTTAAAAAAGTTTCATAAAAATTGGTTCAAATAATCGCGAATTTATAACGTAACAAACATACAAAAAACTTAAGAGCCTCCTCCTCTAAAAAGTTGTAAAAGTTGGTTGAACAATAGTACGACAATCGTAATCGAACCTGCGACTATGCAATCTAAAGTAAAAATTTAGATTGCATGTTGCATTTCTGTATTTTGAGCCAATGATAACTTTTTCTTTATACTCTGAAATTAGTAAAAATATCATAATTGACTATATTTTAAAGGTACTTGCGCTATTAGAGTAGGTAAAGTAAATTTTGAGTACAGTATAAAAATCATAAAGTAGGCGAACCATCCATTGATTTTAATAAAAATACAGCCATTTGATAGTTCAAAACTACGTTCGTGGCAAATAGTTTGAATGGTTCCAATGAAGTACCATCTCGTGGCAAATAGTTTGAATGGTTCCAATGAAGTGCCATCTCGTGGCTAATTACAGTTATACCCTTTTAACCCTAAAGCCCCACTGTCGTATAAAAGTTAGTATGACAGTCGGCTGCAGCTCGCACGCCCGCAGGATTGCCCTATGTTTGTTAGACGACTGTATAAATTAGCGGACTGTGATTTTGAGTTTGGGTTTGTTTTTCAGTTGGCTTCGGTCTCGTCCACCATTCCGCTCCGGTGAGACGATGGTAGGGCCCCGGTCTCGCCGGTCTGACGAACTGCACAGCTCTACAGTGATACCGTACCTCGTGGAACGACACTACGCCTCCACACACCACTACTTCACTGAACATGATCTTAGAAATGGTTTGTATTGCCCTTATAATATAATAAATTACACACTCGCATCGGTTTGGTTATAAACAGTAGCTTATGTGTTACTCCAGGTCTGTCTGTGAACCAAATTTCATCTAAATCCGTCCAGCAGTTTCAGCGTAAAGAATTAATAACATTTTTAACTAAAAATATCTTAAGAGAAAATATATCAAGTTAATAATGTTTTATTAAATCTATCTTAAATGTTAATAAATAGAAAATAAACTATGTCATTTTGAACATATTATGTTTGTTAAATTTTATCTGTCCACGTAATTTGTAATCTTACTTAACCATATAAGTTTAAAGTATTTTTTTTACGTTTCTCACGCTTGTCACAGCAACTGCCTATTAATTATAAATCCAAACCAACCCAACTGTTAGTTAATAATATATCGAGTCTATATTCTGTAAAAGCGCCTAAATTATTTTTCATGAGAATAATTATTAGGCTATTTAACTACGTTAGAAAAACTAACTGAATTCGTTTCATAATGTTAAAAATCCACGGTGCAAATATTTGCTAATTGAAACATTGCATCAATGCTATTAAGAGGATTGTGAAGCTGTAAATTTTCATACATAAAGCGAAAACGTTTTTCCCCCCTTAAACATAGTCTAATTTTCATAATTTTTGGAAATGTTGTAGATATAATCAAAATCTAGGTCCGTACGTTTTTATTTTTTAGAAATATTGCGTACGACAGAAGTTATTAGCATCTAAATATCTATATTTTTGACCTAAAAACTTCCTCCAGCGTTTTTATTTTTTTAAATTAAACTAAACTGAATTAAAAAAAAAGGAAAACGTACAGACCTAGATTAAGGTGTACTGAATCTAATGAGATCAAAATCGTCTCATTTCGTTAATGTTTAGGGGGGTGAAAACGTTATCGCCCGAAACAATATTTCAAAAAGGAAATGTAGGTAATTGAGTCTAAGACTTGCAACTCTCTCTACCGCACCATACGGGTCGGGGGCAGGGGCATATTGTAGACTGTAGTGATGTTGAAGGTGCTATCGATATTATTATCTCCTAGGGAGGAGAAGGTAATATCGATATATCGATCGATACTGAAAGGATTCAATCCAAAGTTTAGAATTTTATTATACTCGTATGTATAGATTGTAACTAAGCCGTATCTGTACATTAAATATTTTTTTGAAAATATTATTGAAATAAACATTATTATCGATACAGAGGCCGAATCTATAGTTTTTTGAATTTTTGTCTGTCTGTCTGTATGTCTGTCTGTCTGTTACCACGTCACAGAAAAACCACTGGAGGGATTTTGATGAAATTTGGTATGGTGGTAGCTGGTTATCCGGATCAACATATTATAGGATTACCGCGGGAAAATATCTCATTTCTGAGAAAAAATACAAAACTGAAAATATATATATATATGACCCTGTATATATATATATATACAGGGTCATTTTTAATTTACTGAAGACCTTTTGGGAATATACTATTTACATCATAACAACAACCTCTGTAACAAGAAAAAAATATATTTCTTAAATTTTCATTTTCATACAAAAATAAAAATATTTTCTATATCATCATCATCATTATATCTGGCCAAGTTTGAATGAGTAAGGGCCACTTCCTACACCCCTCCACCCCTCGCCCTCCACCGGTCACGCGCTTTCTTTTGCTAATTGCTGGACTATTACCGTTTAGATGGAGCAATAAAAATACTTTTATTTTTGTAAAATTTATATTTTTAATTCTATATTCGTTATAATTTTTTCGTATTTATCGATATTTTATTAGTTTTTGGAGTTAATTTTATTGATTTTTCTGAAAAAAATGATTTTAGGGCAATTACAGAAAGAAATGAAATTCATTCGTAATCTAATCTTGTTTATTCATTAGTTAAAAATATATTTTAAAAAATTAAGTTGATATATTTTATAAAATTTAGTCATAGATATGTTAAAAAATCGTAAATCATCATCATTCATGATCAGGTCATTTTATGAATTTCTATTCCTTATATACCTGCTAACATTATAAAATCATAAAACTTTAGGTTTTCAATAAAAAAAAATATTTTAAAAATAAAAGGATTCCGATGGGTCTATTAGTACATAAACAACAAAAAATTCTAAAACTTTCAACTTTTGGAACGAGATTTTTGTAATTGATCTAAACCACCTATTTATTTTTTTATGATTTTTTGAAGTCATCAATCTAAACAAGTCAAATTTTAAATGATATTCGCCACAGAATTGTAATTTAGAGTTATTTCAGTTTATGAATAAAGGTGCGATGTAACTTGTAGGGAATGTATATTGTACGCAAACCGTTAAAATAATAAATATTAGATAAACTTTGAAATTGCTCTTGCGCCGAGTCGCGCCGCCCCCGCCCCCGCCCCCCGCAAGCGCCCGCGCGACACCGGCTGCTGCTATCATAGTGTGTGTGAGAATTTGCGTATGTTGTATTTGTGTTGTTCACTGCCGGGGGGATGCAAAGCGGTATGAAACAGATTGCATTTTTAAAAATACCTACTCTCGCCGCGTATCGGCACTTCACAATCCTCTTAAATATTATACATTTCTCAGCTCTTATAGGCACATATTATGTACATATATACGATAGCTCTAATGTAAATATTATTGTTTCATACATTGTATTAATAATTTCCATTCGTCAGTCATCCTTGTACACATGTACATAACTACATACTTAATAGGATAAAGAAAATGCCTCTTTAAAACTAAAAGTTGGATCTTTCTATGTAAAACGTCTATTTCAATCATTATTTCTGTTGTAAATATCGAAGATACAAATCTATATTGATAATAATTGATATGTATTACTATAGGTGCAGTTCTTTTGATACATATGTTTACAATTGAAAATTTAAATAATATTAATAAATTGTTTTGTTTATGAAAACCAAGAAGACAATATTTTTATGTAATATACCTATTACATTTGTATATTGACCGTATTGCAGATTCTGAGGAATGTTGCAAAGAAGGTCAAGTTCGCGCTCGTATATGCTCAATGAGTTAGGTTCGTAGCATGGAAGTGTCCCCTATAGGCTTTATATTGTTAGAATTCATTAATGCCCACCGCGTAAGAGCTATTTTCTCCTTTAACACGGCTAATCTGATTACTCTATGACGCAAATCCTATACAGTATTTCTATTAACTGCTTATAATTATTATCGTTCATTCAAGATATAATTACATACATAGTATTGAGCTAATGAAACTGCATGGTCATTACTAACTAAATGTAACTGCTATAGTCAATAATTACGCTCCAGTTCCGGAAATGATTACCTACTAGCATTGCCCGCGGCTCCGCTCGCGTTCAGATGACCAAAAACTAAATTCTTAGGTTTTACATATTAGTATACTCTTACATTGCAGTTTTTGTATTTTTTCTCAGTGTATGTATAGATGTAGATATAAAGTGTGATTTTAAATTTTGAAGAGAACGAATTGAAGCTGTGAAGCATAAAGTACCGTTTAGGCTCCTTCTATTGAGTTGATTGTTTGCTTTCATAATAGCTTTGCCCGCGAATTATTTAGTATGAGTTATGACCGTAAAATGATCTGTTTCTAAAGAACACTTCACTTTGAAAGTCTCGTTTACATCAGTTAAATCGTGCTTTAATCCGGTATCCTATTGGACTTACTTTTCCTTTTTGGGATAAAATTATTCTTAAGTTACTGTTATCCCAAATCTTTCGAATGAAGTTCGATCCATTTTAACACTGAAAGAATTTAAAATCGATTATTTCATTAACGAGAGTAGGTCAGACGGGACACAGACAGTCGGACATGCAAATTATTTTTTTAATCTAAATAAATTAAGGCTTCGATATTATATAATAATGTATTCAGTAGAATAACTATTTTCATGTAACAGACAGACACTTTAATTTTATATGTGTGTACCTAATATTATACTTGTTTATTTAAATAACATCCGCACTAACCACTTGTCTACCATTATCATTAAAGATTAACAAGTGTTGAAGTTTCTTGAAAACTTATTTGCAGAAATAATTTTCACTTCATCCTGAGAAGTAAATATGATTTTTTTTTATTAAATGCAATTATTATACGACGTTTTACCAAACTGTAAATTATGTCACGGCGTTTGATTTGAGACTTCCATTTTAATAGCTTATGATGACATATTTCATTTATAATGTTCCAGAATATTTTTCTTGTATTATCTATGTATGTTTATATTTATATTGCACCTTTTTTAGTTATTTTCATAATTACTAACAATGTTTCTTCAGACAATTTTAAGTAATCGATTGCATCGTTAATTTAAATTTATTATATATAATAATAAATCGAAAGCGTGTATAATACATAAATAATATTGTTTGTTTTGTTATCCAGAATTAGGTGACAACGGTTCTCGCACTATGTCAACTGCAGAATTATCGGACGCAGAGTCTACGCAATGCAAGCGTCGTTGGCATTCGTCCTGTGGCAGACTGCCTTCGTGTCGCCTCACGTGATTGTCACCCTACTAATCTAAATAATTCATCCATAGTGGTTATATAACTGTCTCGTTTCTCCCCAATTTGATTGTCACCCTATCCAATCTTATTGTGGCTATGGTTCGGATATTGTGATCGTTGCAGAACAGTCTCGTTTCACCCCAACCCGATGGTCATCCTATACAAACCTATTGACTATGGGTTAGACAGGACTTGATTGCTCCCCTAATTAAATATTTGGTCAGTGGTGATTTTAGCTTAGGCCAATCTTGGTTTTTCGCACATGACTGTCACTATAGTGACTATTGTTTAAGAATTGTCCTATTTTAACTGTTTTTATGAGTACAGATTTTATGTTATTTTGAAATTACTTTTTGCCTTGCCTAATTAAGCCCAAGCTAATGTTTGTGTCGTTACGAATAATATTATCTATTAATCCTATCAACGATAACATGAGTATTAAATTTAAAATTTGAATTAATGTCACTGTCTGTCAGTTTGCAAACTTTTTAGTTGCTTTCATTACTAAACACATGTAAATATTTATAAATTTCTTATTTTGTGAAAGTAACTCAATCGTAAACGTGACCGCTCTATAATTTAATTGAAATAACCTATGTATTTGTCTAATACATATTATGAAGATGTTGTATGCAAACGCATTTTTTGTGACTTATTAGAAAATATAATATTTTTTATTACTAAAATCACCACCGGTCTTGATTTTATTTTTTAAATGTTTATACATATTCGTAGACAGCTTTATGTGCAATATGGCGGCGAGATCTGCTTTTTAATTATTTAGATCATTAGTTGGAGAATTAAAGCCGTAATTTTTTTATCTATGTATCATTTTTGTCAAATTGCACATAAATTATCGTGTCGGTATTGGCGTCCTTTAACGTGATGTATTTTGTATGATTTGCTTTCTTAAAACTTTAATTTATACCTTAATGTTTTGCCGATCGCCGATAAAATTTTAGTATTCACTTTAAAATTGCGTTTAAAAATGTACTAAAATAAAGTTTAGGTGACAGTTTCTTTGTTAAATAAATAATATGACGGCTCTATTGGAAGCAAGCATAGACAATTTTTTTATTTGAAAAAAAAAATAATACGCTCATATTCGTATCTACGGTTGATCTTGACAGTAATGACAAACGCTTGTGCCTTTTAGTGCGTATTTTAAAATAATGCACTTTTATTGAGATCAACTATTCAAATCAAGTCTGCCATGATTTGTTCCACTTGTGTTTATAAGTGAATACGTTTCTGAAAGAAGTTCCCTGTTGCACGTTACTCGACACGCTTACACGGGAAAAAGTGTAACGCTACATTTACACGCTGGCCGAGGCATGGCAAGCGTCTACAAGCTCCAAGCTCGCCAGTGTTGCCACAGTTAGTTTTGTAAATTCCCCGCGTCACGTTGAAAAATTCCTCTTTTTATTGCAAAATTCCCCTCGAAGTTCATGATGTAGGAAAAAAAGAATAAAAATGTTTTATTAATGAAAACTTTATTCCAAAAACTAAAACAAATACATCACTTTTTGTATAGGTTCGCTTTGAGCATATTTATTGTCGGCTCAAATTTTACACAATCTTTTATTTGGTCTTTAGTTTGCATTAGGGCAACTATCGTGCTTGTTTTTAGTTTATTTCTATGATCATTTTTAATATTTTTGAGAGAACTAAATACACGTTCCACGGATGCATTCGAGAAAGGTAAAACTAACAAGGCATTTAAAATGCCTTTTAAATTTGGAAACAAACTTTGACCAAGGGCATTTTTTAAGTGGAAAACTTTACGCCAATACTCCTCAGCACCATCTGAAGGATGCAAGTCGTAGCTTTCATGATCAAGTAGAGCATGTTCTCGCCATTCATCGTCAACTTCTTGCATGTTGTAATAATCGTACAATACTGGAAATCTTACAAAGATTGGCTTCAAAGATTTAAAAGTGAAACTTTGAGCAACAGAAGGATTTACCAAGTCAATAAAATTAAAAAGACTGTCCTTAAAGTCAAACCTCTGTAGGATTTGTTTAGCCAACTCCACATAAAAGCTGCGACAAGTTATCAAAAACATATTGACATCAGTTTCAGGAACCTGTGAGTTATTTTTTAACTTTTGTAAGCTTTCGGTAGCTAATACACCTAGATACACTCTGTCCAATCTGTCATATTTGGATTCATCATCAAACTCAATTTTCATTATATCAGTACAAGACTTCACATAAGAAAATGTGATGTAATTGCTACACACAGTTTTCAACAGATTTTCGACTGAAGATTTCATTTTATATAGCAGTGGTGTTTCTGACTGAAACAATAAATTGAATTGAGTCAGCAAACCTAAAGTATAAGACATGAATTCTAAATAAATAACCGTGAACTCATTATCCATTGTAGCCACCATTTCTTCGGTTGTTTTAGAGGGATCCTCGAAAACAGCTAGTCTTAAATATTCTCTCAGGGGAGTATACTGTTGTAACACACGATCTACGCAGTTTTTCACAGACAGCCAGCGTGTTGTAGCTACGTTCAAAATTTTGTGTAAATCACATTGAAAAAAAGCTTGAAACTCTGCGAATTTTTCTTGTCTAAAAGAGCTGCGGCTGAAGTGCGACCCCAAGTTTCTTATAAGATCTTCGACAGATCGTGGGAGTTTTAAGCATGCTTTAGATGCTGCTAAATGTATTAAATGGCAGGAACATTTGATGCACGCTATGCTAGGTAATGCGGCTTTCAAATGAGAAAACACTGAGTTGTGCTCTCCAATCATTACGTTCGTAGTATCTGAACAGAAGCCTATGAGATTCGATAATGGTATTTGTTTTGATTCTATCACATTTGTTAAATACTTCACTAAAGATATGGCATCTCCGGATTTGACCTCTATCATATCAAAAAAATGGGTCTCAACTTTGTTACTTTCAACATTAAAATAAATAACTGTGAACGCAAGCTGTTTAATAGTACTACAGTCTGTAGTTTCATCCATAATTATGGAGAAGAAAGCGCCAGGAACTCTAAGTGCATCAAACACAATATTAGCCAAGTTGTTGCCTAAAGCATTTTTTATACAATGAGAGGCTTTAGTTCGTCGTACTGCCAATTTGCTTACGATCTCAGAGTCTGTGAAAATGTCTTTAGCTAAAGGGATAACAGTGTCCATCAACGAGAACGGTAAGTTATTTGTAGCAAGCATTGCACAAAGCTTTAATTCTGCACGACGTACTTTAACGTCTACAGATGATTCCCGCACTAAATCGTCAATTTTTTTTGATCCCGATACTTGTTTAGAAATTCGAAGATGTTTTTTTGAATTCAGGTGGCGTATTAAGTCACTTTTGTGTGCGATTACAGTCATATTACAAATTCTGCAAAATGCTAGTTCGTGACCATCTCTAATTTCATTGTGTTTCGTTAACCATCCCTTGAATTCAGGCCGAGTAGTCCAAGAATCTAGAAATTTATTAAATCGTTTCTTTTTTTCGATAGGTTCTTCACGAGTGCTTGATGTCATCTGTGCAGATGTAGAAGGAATTTGCTCAGAGTTGTTTGCCACTTCTTGAACAGAACTGGAAGTACTTGGTGAATTTCCGTCATCTATGGCACTGGCTATCTCCTAAAAATGGATATAATTTAAAATATCGTTAGTCTTGATATGCACAAAATATTGCGTTTAGGCTTTCAGAAATACCCGACAATAGGGAAAATAGTTATACTGTTGCAACATTGATTATGAAAAAACATCGAAAGCAAAAAAACAATACAAAAACGTTTCTCCGCTTTTCGCTACGTTAAAATTATAAAATATCTCTGTGACAAATACGCAAGTAGCGTGATGCCAAAGATCGGCAACGCAGAAGCTCGCTTGCGAGTGCATTTCAGAATTAGTGTGTTCCGGACAGGCAAGCTGAGCAGATGTCGACTATTGCGTTTGGCTTGACATGTTTTTAACTATACATATAATAAAATTGTAACTAAGCTGAATCTGTACATTAAATATTTTTTGGAAAATATTATTGAAATAGATATTATGAGCTCGTGACGAGAACGACGTGTAAAGCGCTTGCCGCAAGCTCCTTTTGATCTGTATTCAAAGACCGATACTAGCCCGGATCGTGACAAGTTCACGCAAGCCGGCAAGCCAAACACCCGTTCACACGCTTGTGTTTGTGGACGCTTGTCGACACTTGCCAAGCGTGTAAATGTAGCGTAATATTTTTAGTGTTACCACAATTTTTAACCGACTTCCCAAAAGGAGAAGTTATTATTTACTGAGAGCACCTTATGTGACGTTATCACAAGTACCAGGCGATCATAAGTGTTAAGGAGTGTTTCTAGTAAGTAGTTCGTATGCATTCTTATGATGGGGCCCTACATACACACATGATGAGCTATATAATGAGCACTCCTTGAGTTTCGTGGTCCACTAGTACTCGTAACCAAAAATACCAGGCGATCATGAGTGTTAAGGAATGTGTGTTGTAATAAATTTGTGTGCACCTTTCTTCTAAGAGCTTCAACCCTACGTTAGTACTCGTGACAGTTTAAATGAATATAATTTATGAGATAGGGGCAGATAGCGAAAGCAACTTCGTTCCTACCGGGAGTCCCACTACACCTCTCGATTGATTGATTTTTTTTATTGAAGTACATAATATTTTCCAAAGCTTATATCGATTTGAAAAAATGTTTAATAAGAATTATATTATTAATATTAAAATTATTATTTTGTAAATTACAATTGTATTGTGTCGCCTGTACAATACTGTCCCATTATGATATTATGAATTTTAAATTGTTTATATTTTGAATGTTTATTGTTCTTTTACATCGCAGAAAAACGATGGATTTGGATAGAAAAAATATAGTTTTGACACTGACAAAAACATAAAGAGGAAAGAGATAAAGGAAGAGATAAAGTGAACAAGCATTACAGAGTGCTTTAATATAACTTTTACTTAGAAATGTATATCGTATGAAGAGTCGAGTGATGCTTAAACAGT